AACTTGTACATTGTGCAGGGGTTATTAGTTTTACACTTAATCTGTCATATTAGTTACTTATTTGCATAATAGTTTTCAGCTATTCCATCAATATCTCAAGTATAAGTAATTTTGAATTAATTTTTAATGTGTCTCCAAAACTCTCATCACACGGGAGTTCTTTCTAAGCTTTCTTTGATTATATATGTCTCGAATGAAACATGCCTAGCTACTGCGTTCGTTTACCTTTAAAAATGCATGGTATACATCGCAGGGGCCAATTTCAACACCAGACTTCCAATATTTTGTCAAAAATGAACCAACGCTTGTACTCGATATTGATTGGTTATCACTCCGTTAGTCTAACGCCCTCACCGACACCAAACAAACTATGCAGGTACTTAATATCCTCAAGTAGGGGAACACTTATCTACATTATTCATACTTCAACATGATGGTACCCCTGGATTCTTCGGTAAACATTGTCACCGTGACGTACGTCAATTTTCATTGTGTTAACATTACATAATTCATAGTTTTTTTGGTTTTTTTTAATGCAAAGTATGTGGTTTCCATGCGATGTTCCCATGTATTGTTTTATCATATACTATTACGAAATGGTACGAATGCATCTCTTACCACGTTTACAGCTGCGACGAAGAGAATTACGTGATATGCTAATCCGAAATCTAATCTCACAGATCTAGTCTGATGTGTATTGATCTTCTAATGAATAACAAATATTTTCCGTTATAAGATCAATATGTGTCATAAATATGAAACAAATTTCATTTTATTTTTTTGTAATCCGCATTTTATTCTATGTATATTACTACAATATGCAAATATGCTTTTTGTTATGTCATATTCACATATGCAGCTACGTCGTAGCCCAGTGCTTTAGTTGTGTTTCTCTTTGTTGTATATGTTTAATGGAAAGTGCATGACAAACCCTGTTTGCAAACACAGACATTTAGTATTGTGTCTCGTCCGAGTCGTAAAAAACACCAATGATCGAAACAGAACACTGAAGAAACTGAATGTCTGTCACGGCATTCCCCATGGCATGAAACAACACATCTGTTAACATTTTCAATATCTGTTGAAATAAAATAATTTGTTTATCGAAGGCGTGTTCTAAAGTAGTACTTGCAGTGTGTTAAAGTGGTCGTACATCATATCGTGTCGCTTGTCAAGAGTTAAAGCTGGGATTCTTATTTGTAGTCAAGGGGAGTAGGGTATGTATGACAAAAGAAATGCGTATGTTGTATTTGTGTTGTACGTGAAGTTGCATGTATAAAAGTGTTCTGTGTGCTTGATACCAAATCATTCTGAAGAAAACAAGGAGGCTGCTCGGTCACTTTTCTTGATCATGGATATCAGAGCTGCGTTTATTCTCTTGCTAGGAATAGCGGCGACAAGTAAGTGCATTTCTACAACTTTCTACATCACATTGTTCGTCTTCGGGTTACCGTCGCTTTCTCAACCAGTTATTCAGATTCGACTTGTTTTACGTGTTTTCTTGCTGTTCTCAGCCGAAGTTATGTAAGGTAGAACGGACACTGCAATTTAATTCATTTAATGTTGGTCTTGAGTAAATAGACCAGCTCACGCATTCTGGATGTAATGTCAAGGTGACACTCCTGGCTCAGATCTTAACTAGAAAAACAAATTCTTGAATCACTACCAAGTTTGCCGCATTATTTGTGTATTGCCTGTGCTTACTCGTTGTCTGTAAATATGTGCCGGTGTAAAACTGAGATTGCTATGCAAATACGGTTATTGTCTTGTCTGCCTGCCTGCACATTGGTGCAATTTCGATTTTTTAAAGTGAACATTTTATTCCAACACAGTTGCACTGTTACCAAGGAGACGAAGGTAAACACTAGACTCGGTCTGTCCAACGTTAGCATTGTGGTTAGACACGTACAATGACTTGTTGGCGAAATGTGAACAAATAACATCGAAATGTGCCAGAACCCCGACAATCTAGCCTTTCCATAATTTTCATATCAATTCCGACTCTGTTTGATCTGTTTGACCATATTTGGTCAATGTATTTATTCCAAATTTACATTAGCTCATACCAAACATAACGTGGTCATACGGTATGTTGACTTAAAAGTCAAATAAAGTTGGAGTTAGTAGTGCGAATTTTAGTGAACAGTTAAATGATCAACGAGT